AGTGTAGGATCGTTCCCTCACTGTAAATGGCATTGCAAGTGGTGCTGGTGGATGAGTTGCCGATGGAATTCCATTGTGCTTTGCAACTGTAGGATCGTTCCCGCAGTGTAAATGGGATTGCAAGTGTTGCTTCCTCTTTTGGCTGCATGCGTAATACTATTGTCTTTTGCAGCTGGACTTCGTAAATCGTATTGGAGTGGCTGCATGAAGGCTGCGACAATGATTTGTTAGCAGATTTTCTCCATTTTGGCGCCAGCGATTTTCTTTTCAAAAATCCTTTTAAAAATTGCTTCAAAATCGTCTTTTTTTTCGCTCTGGCGTCGAGATCCGGTTTTGGAGCTACAATTTCCGACCCAGTTGCGCGTAGTTCTATTGTGTTTTGCAACTCAGTCTCTGCAGATCGCATAGTAATGGCTGCGTCAAGGTTGCTTCTTGCCACGGCTGCATGCGTAATACTATTGTCTTTTGCAGCTGGACTTCGTAAATCATAATGGAGTGGCTGCATGAAGGCTGCGACAGTGATTTGTCAGCAGATTTTCTCCATTTTGGCGCTAATAATTTTCCTTTAAAAAAATCTTTTAAAAAGTGCTTCAAAATCGTTTTTTTTTCGCTTTGGCGTCGAGATCCGGTTTTGGAGCTGCAATTTCCGACCCAGTTGCGCGTAGTTCTATTGTGTTTTGCAACTCAGTCTTTGCAGATCGCATTGTAATGGCTGCGTCAAGGTTGCTTGGTGCCGCGGCTGCATGCGTAATACCATTGTCTTTTGCAGCTGGACTTCGTAAATCGTATTGGAGTGGCTGCATGAAGGCTGCGACAGTGATTTGTCAGCAGATTTTCTCCATTTTGGCGCTAATGATTTTCCTTCTAAAAATAATTTTAAAAAGTGCTTCAAAATCGTCTTTTTTCGCTCTGGCGTCGAGATCCGGTTTTGGAGCTACAATTTCCGACGCCGTTGCGCGTAGTTCTATTGTGTTTTGCAACTCAGTCTCTGCAGATCGCATTGTAATGGCTGCGTCAAGGTTGCTTCGTGCTGTGGCTGCATGCGTAATACCATTGTCTTTTCCAGCTGGATCTCGTAAATCGTATTGGAGTGGCTGCATGAAGGCTGCGACAGTGATTTGTCAGCAGATTTTCTCCATTTTGGCGCCAGTGATTTTCTTTTTAAAAATCCTTTCAAAAAGTGCTTCAAAATCGTCTTTTTTTTCGCTCTAGCGTCGAGATCCGATCCGGTTTTGGAGCTGCAATTTCCGACCCAGTTGCGCGTAGTTCTATTGTGTTTTGCAACTCAGTCTCTGCAGATCGCATTGTGATGGCTGCGTCAAAGTTGCTTGGTGCCGCGGCTGCATGCGCAATACTATTGTCTTTTGCAGCTGGACTTCGTAAATCGTATTGGAGTGGGTGCATCAAGGGTTTGACAGTGATTAGTAGTAGTGCTGGGAATTGATTAATGAAAGCTTAATAGATGACATATGAGAAGGGACGAGATGAGAAGAGATGAGCTGGGATAAGGTGAGAAGAGCTCAGATGAGATGAAGTGTGGAGTGTGAAGAGTGCAGTGTGAAGTGTGGGGCGTGAAGAGTGCAGTGTGAAGTGTGAAGTGTGAAGTTTGGAGTGTGAAGGAAGCAGTGAGAAGTGAGAAGTGTGAAGTGTGGACTGTGAAGTGTGGAGTGTGAAGTTTGGAGTGCAAAGAGTGCAAAGAGTGCAGTGTGAAGTGTGGAGTGTGAAGAGTGCAGTGTGAAGTGTACAGTGTGAAGGAAGCACTGGGAAGTGAGAAGTGTGAAGTGTGGAGTGTGAAGTTTAAGTTTGGAGTGCGAAGAGTGAGTGTGAAGTGTGAAGTGTGAGGTTTGGAGTGTGAAGGCAGCAGTGAGAAGTGAGAAGTGTGGACTGTGAAGTGTGGAGTGTGAAGTGCGAAGTGAGAAGTGTGAAGTTTGGAGTGTGAAGGAAGCAGTGAGAAGTGGTAAGTGTGGACTGTGAAGTGTGAAGTGAGAAGTGTGAAGTGTGAAGTTTGGAGTGTGAAGGAAGCAGTGAGAAGTGAGAAGTGTGAAGTGTGGACTGTGAAGCGGGAAGTGTGAAGTGTGGAGTGCGAAGTGCGAAGTGTGAAGTTTGGAGTGTGAAGGAAGCAGTGAGAAGTGTGAAGTGTGGACTGTGAAGCGGGAAGTGTGAAGTGTGGAGTGTGAAGTGTGAAGTGTGAAGTGTGGAGTGTGAAGTGTGAAGTGTGAAGTGTGGATTGTGAAGTGTGGACTGTGAAGTGTGGACTGTGAAGTGGGGAGTGTGAAGTGCGAAGTGAGAAGGAAGCAGTGGGAAGTGAGAAGTGTGAATTGTGAAGTGTGAAGTGTGGAATGTGAAGTGTGGAGTGTGAAGTTTAAGTTTGGAGTGCGAAGAGCGCAGTGTGAAGTGTGAAGTGTGAGGTTTGGAGTGTGAAGGAAGCAGTGGAAGTGTGAAGTGAAGTGTGAAGTGTGGAGTGTGAAGTGTGGAGTGTGAAGTTTCAGTTTGGAGTGCGAAGAGCGCAGTGTGAAGTGTGAAGTGTGAAGTGTGAGGTTTGGAGTGTGAAGGAAGCAGTGAGAAGTGAGAAGTGTGAAGTGTGGAGTGTGAAGTGTGAAGTGTGAAGTGTGGAGTGTGAAGTTTCGAGTGCGAAGTGTGGAGTGTGAAGTGTGAAGTTTCGAGTGCGAAGAGTGCAGTGTGAAGTGTGGAGTGCGAAGTGTGGAGTGTGAAGACTTTGCTTCGTCTCTCGCTGAAAAAAAAGCCGCTTGTCGAGGGAAGGACACGGTCGGGACAGGCTGGCGTCGAACTATAGGTCATTTATTCTTGGGAAACTTCCGCCGCCGGCTTGCCCGGGTCTATGTTATATATATATATAAGATATCTACCATAAGTCCTAGTTATTGGACCTCACCCACCTCCCCAAACTAACTGAATAGAGGTTCAAGAACCATCTGAAACATCTTCAACGCTTGGTGTGATCAGAACCATATTGGGATGAACAAAGATACAGGGTAAAGACATGGGCTTCAGAACAAAAGCTCCACTACCATTTACTCATTGTATTCTATCATCTATCTACCTTCCACCCCTTCAACCCCTTCAACCCCTTGAACCCCTTCAACCTCTTCAACCACCCTCAATGTCGTAAGACTACGTTAGACGGTCCATCCGCAAACACGTGCGACATCGTGCGACCGCGGTGGTTCTGCATCCGTTTCACCCAGTGATAGCGGTGGACTCAATTCCAGACCAAGTAGGATTCACCAGATTTCACATACATATTGGCAGCATTTCTATTCACATTTCTCCACAGTCTTCAATTGAGACATGCCGAAGTCTAGATCAGTGAATCTGAGCAGTGTTCAAAATATATCAAAATATGTCATTTCAATTTTCATACTGGCTGGTGAAAAAATCTTGAAACCGGGATTCCCCGTTCTTGGATTATTACAATCCCCAATCAATCCAATCACTCCAATCAATCCAATAAATCCAATCAATCCAATGAATCAATCATTTTATAATATATACATATAAATCAATCCATTTATAATATCATATCAATCCAATCCATTTATAGTATAATATATATAAAGATACATATAAAGGATTTTTATGTCTTTTTTTATCCCAAAAATATTTTGGCACCTCGAAGAGATTGGCACGGTCGTGGGGGAGGTCTAACTCATCCATCAGAAACCTCGGTGAATCTCTCGGAGAGAATGGACTTTCTGATGGGATGATGGACACCACGACCATCTGGTTATGACTAACAGACATAGCCATGGAAAATCCCTGGCCCATCAATGGAGGTTTATAGATGTTTATAGCTGGGAAAATCATCTATTTCTATGGGCCATGGCTTCCATGGCTATGTTAAATAACCAGAGGGTAGATAACTTAGATAGTTGATGGGACATCAACCGTGGCTGGAGAATCCCCACGAAAAAAAGAAGGTTTAGCTCGCTGGAAATCTTCGAACTCAATGGGGGAATTTTCCAAAAAAACAATGATCCTGAATCTCGACTTTAAAATTTTGAAGATGTCATGCTTTCGGCCCATCACTTAAAATGGATGCATATGGATGCTTCAGCCGGGGAACATCATGATACAAACGGATCTCCGTATTCTTCCACTGTGCCAAACACTAGCTGCAAGTACAAACACGGAGGAAGCAACAGCTACAGACATACTGCCCACAAGGTGATGGTTGTTGATGGAAAGGCAGATTGCTGCACGGTGCGGGGGTAAGTTGTTCAATGGACTGTCCAAGGGAACTTTTGAATCCACATTTTTACCAGCCAAACGAGTCTGGTTTCTGTCACATGTCACTTTAATCTGAAATGGAATGATGTGGAGACAACCACTCTTTCGTGATCCTGAAATGAATCCCCTTATTCCTCAAATGTCTAAATACCCAACCATGATCTAAATGGAGCATAATGGAGCGGCTTTCCAGAACGAAGCTCACATGGAATTTTCTTGGGACGAACATCCGCAAGAGTTGTTTCAACATCTCCATCACTTGGTTCCAAGGAGCTGAACAGATTGATCCTGAATGATCAGCAAGAACAACTCCTTGGTAATTGCCTCAGAGGAAACGCTCTGAAAATATGAAATTCTCATATGCACAGCACGCATAATTTTTGATGGTCGAGCTAAAGTCATATGATGCCATATGCATAGCACAAAAAAAACATGGTGGGATACGAGTATGGCGGGATAACATTTCATTTCACTCCATGCGCTCGGTTTGCCAAACTGTAGTGATTTGGTCAGTACCCCCAAATCGAATGGTGTATCAGCATTTCCCCATTCAACTGGGGTTCTTGGATGTTTTCAGGGTTCTAGCATGGTTCTAGGATTGATCGAGGTTCATTCTGCACTGCCAACGATCCACGAACCATCCGGCAACCATTTTTTAGGGGCATATCCACATCTTTGGAAAGGTCAGTTGTTACCCCACCCATTTTTTTGTGGGTCATACCCTACAATTCTTGACCATCAATCACAAGGGATTATATAACTGGGCCTAGCTCACCATTGCGTTGCCCCACCACTTGAGTATCGCAAAAAATGATAAAAGAATAGGGAGTTCCGAAATGATTTATTGGATTTTGGCTTCCAAACTTATTTTCCCGTGATTTTTTTTCCAACTGATTCCTCCAATCTTTTGGCGCCCGACCCGAAAAAGCCCAGGTGGCAATGTGTTCATGGATGTCTTCATCGGTGAAGCTGCTCTCCATGGGTTTGAAGTCGATCCGCGCACCGGAGCGACCCTCGATTGACGCGAGGGTTTATCAGCTATGACAGGGATACGGCAGGGATAAACGGACTGGTGAACGGACTGATAAAACATGATAAAACGGACATCTAACCAACAAAGATTAGAAAAAATATTGGGGATTATATCATAATACATGATTACATAATTTATATATCAATATATATATATATATACAATTATATACATATATATATATATATATCATAGTTAATCAAACTACGATACAATGATACATGTATCTCAGAACTTGGGATTCACGTCTGCAGCATGCAGGGGATCGCGTCTGCAGTGAATATACGTCTTGATGTAGCCCCTTTTGAACCATACAAGTATGTTTGTCAATGGGAAATCTTCCTTTGAAGTAGGGGGTTGAAGATTCAAATGTAATATCAAACAACACAAACCATGTTAGATCAGATTATACATTGTATATTATCATCAGTGTGGGGTACACATCCCCGTTCTTATTCGCGTTATCCCTCATGCATTTTTCCTGATACTTGAGTTCAGCCCTTTGACTTTTTCCTGATTGGGGAAGCATTTTCCCAGGCAAGCGATATCGTGATCTCCTCTATTTTGGATGATTTTGGTGGCTAACCTACCCATTAAGAGCTCGTTGGTAATTGACACCACCAACTGTTCAACCACTTTGGATGCTTGAAATCATATGCTTTAGCCATCAGTTTCCCATCCAAAATGTCCAACAGAATTTCAAAAATTCCAAGTGTTTCACTGCTCTGTTTTCATGGCGACTCACATGGCCATTTGACGACCCGGAAGCGAAGCTGGTGACTCACCTGGTTTCCCCTCCCAAACATCAGACACATCCTGCCGCGACACGGGTTCGTCCATATCCGAGAACATGCGGTAGGCCGCAGCGAACTTTTTCAGAAGTTCACCTCGGTGAAGGAGGCGAGTGGGAGGTGAGGAAAGGGGGGCTGGTTAAACTTGGCGAGATACGAGAAAAACCATGGCCAAAGTGAGATAATGATATAGCCATGTTGATAGAAATTCGAATGATTGACCATCTTGATATATCTTGATAACCATTGATAATGATTGAGAACCACTGTGAACCCATATTCATTTAAAATCATCAAAGCGAGAACAGTGATCGAATGCCGCTTGGGATGGTCACTCTGTCATGAGATACTTACGGTGAACCATATGACCATGCAAAAATTGCACATTAACCCTTACATGATTAGAATATGTGGAATGGTTTATATACTGTATCTATATATTAGTAAAACTTATCACCATGATTTATATACTGTATCTATTTAGAATATTTTAGAATGGTGATTCTCCGCAGCTGCTTAGCGTTAGGTTACCTTAAAGGGATCCTTAAAGGGTATATAAAATTCCACGAGCCATGGTTCGTAAGTTGCCGAAATTTTCATAAGGGACAGGGGAGGATATGTGGTGGTTCCCACGCCAGACTGACGTCAATGTATAGCCATGATTGCTGCAATTTTTTGAAGAAGTGCAGTACCATACTATATATATATATATTTACTATCATATACTATCATATACTGTACTTGCATAGGATGTACAGGAATATATATATATATATTGTTATATTATAAATGGAAATTTGACCAGTACAGAATTATGGATACAAAAACAACCAAACAAACATATTGGGAGTTAGGATAATTCAAGGCAAATGGTGGCGAATTCGGCATCAAGGCTGGTCAATGCGTCCAAGCTAGTGCGTGGTCACCGTCTATCATCTCCTTTTACTGGTCGGTTGAGGCCCAAATTCTTAGTGTATGTACCACAACAATACCCTATGAAATATCACTAAGACCAATGAACATAACTTGACCCATATCGTGTACTTGCGATAGTTCACAAACCTGAAAGTACAATTTTCGGGCTGGTTCCTCCCCAAATTTCAAAACTTAGCCTGATTTCTACTGTTTCTGCTGCATCTTGTCATTTCTTGTCTTTCCTCGAAAATGACTCATTTTACCCCAACTAGCAGCACTGTGGATCTTCTGGGCTTGTTCCTCGTTTTTTTTTTTTCACTTTTGCCCTCCCCAAAGTGCGGCCAAAACCACGTGTGGTGCGCGCAATTCGGATGGATTCGCGACTGTGCTGCTCCGCAGTCACCGCTTCGCTCTCCTGCAAATATATTTATAATTCTATAATTATGATGATGATTATTGTACAATTTATATCAATTTATTATATAGTCGTATCAGTCATATCCCCATTTAAAAATGTAATTGACTATGTCATGGACTATCTATATCTACATCCCTGGTGATTCTGGGAGAGAATGCGGTATGCATAGATACACTTTTTATGGATGATCTGAAAACTAGGACCGGGTTACCACCGATGCATTATGATTAATTATCAGGATCTCTATCCAACGTCGAAGCGGCTCATATATGAGCTCATAGTGAAGCGAAACGCCTGGGTGATTAACATACCAAGCCCAACATATGGATAACAAACCAACATGTCCATAACAAACCATAATTCTTACAATCTGAACTACCCAACCAGGCCCAGATGATAATTCTTCCGTGGACATTAATTGCGACCCGGCCAAACGACCAACTTATTCATCCTCAGAAGTGCCCAACTTATTTCATAAATTGATAGCTTTGTTGGCCATTCCAAGCACTGTCTAGACAACACATTCATGGAATATGGCAGGTTATGACAGGTTGTACAGCTCAATATTTATATTATCCACTTCTGCGTAAAGGATCATAAAGGTGGAGGATAGATCAGAAACGCGTTCTGTCCCATCTTGCTGAGTCCAATCCAGCTTGAAAACTCCCTGAAATCTGACATTGAACTTGGAACCCACAAGAATATATCGAAAAAAACAACAGCTCGGGAGAGATTTTTTCAACTATAACAAATCCAAAAGTCGAAAGTATAGCTGGACACCTGGAGTTTATGGGGGAAACATCATCTAGTTCACATCCTGGAACAACTTTTCATAAGTTTTGTATCTTATTGAGGGAAATTCTCGTTGGCAGGTTTCCGGCGCAAACTCCTTGGCGGCCCGCATGGTGATGTCTACATAGACCTTGGTGGGTGAATTGGGTGAATCGAACTAACGAGTTTAGCCTGCAAACTAATATGTGGCTTTCCATAAATGGGTACCCCAAATGGATAGTTTATAATAGACAATCCATCTATAAATAGATGGGAACTGGGGGTACCCCCACTTTAGGAAACCTCCACATGAATATCATTGAATATCAGTGTGGTATCATGGTGGTAGAGAAGGATGGGAAAAGAATGGACAAACAATGTGTTCTTAAAGCCCATACTTGAGGACATTGATGATCAATCATGATCAATCAATATTGCAATAATTACTGCCGAATATGTTGCTTAAGATCTTCTGCCGGCACCCCAAACATCAAATTCTTCATGTCCGTTGAGACTACTTCAATTAAACTGCATGAACCCAGAAATTGATCTGCAGTTCCCTGCACATGGCCAGGAATGCAATTTCGGAAAACCATCTTCCAAATTCATCCGAAATTCTTTGTCAACATTCAAGATCCAGGGGTTCATCAAACTTGGGTCGATCAAAATAGCCGTCCAAGGTGCCGCCAAGATGACATTGTAGATGCCTGCACAACTCCATCCCCGTCAGAGAAAATGATCATGGTATGCCACGGCGGATCAGTGGAATGACGACAGGTTTTGCATGCCTTCCAGTGCTGACAATAATATTTGCTGGTCTCATTCTGATACATTGCTGGTGATAAAAGTATGTACCAGTTAACCAGTTATGTACCAGTTATGTACCAGTAATTATTTGGTGTACAGTAATCCTTTTCCAACTAGTCAATACATACTCATGTTTGTAGGGATGGCTAGTCCCTGGTCGTCGACGTTTTTTCCGCCACGAGCCCGACCGCAGGGACCCCGCCTAGGGAAACAAAAATGTAGCTGGCAGTATAGCACATCACAAAGGCAGTGCCATGACTATGTGCCAGAACCGCAGCAATCGGCTGTCCTGTGCGCGAATTGGAGGGATCGCGACGTTTTTTTTTTCATCACCTGCCTGAAATAACAACATCTGGGGTGCTAACTGCGGTGAATGAAGGAGCAAACGTGATGTTCGAACCCTCTGAAAGGGAACACGTATACAACCATAGTACATACCTTATATATATACATTATAATTTTATAACTACATATAATATAACTGTATTAGATGCATGTATAAGGACGTATAATTTCCGTACAAGAGTGATATAACCAAAGGAAAAGAACTCGCCAGCTTTGACTTGCAATGATTCCGAGCCGGGAATTTCATCTACAGTACAAAGAGCTTGAGAACGTCAACGCCTGCTGACCTGAATTCACACCATGCTTTGCTGATCACTAGTGAGCAACTGATCACGAATGTGATGGGGTGCCCCCGTCCTGACTCTGCAAAGCACTCACCAGAGAAACATCGAAACGCAGTGAACATGGACCTGAGATATCTGAGATGCCAGAAACTCGGGCGCCTGACATGGCTTGACCACATTTGACAACATGGTTCAATCTGCTCCAGAAATGGGGGTCTACCCTCTGGTAATTTAACATAGCTATTGAAAATGACCATTTATAGTGAGTTTTCCCATTAATAGCATGGTGATTTTCCATAGTTATGTTAAATTACCAGAGGGTAACTGGGCCAAGTTGGGTGACTCCCGAGATCCATGACTCAAGGATTCGCCAAAACCAAGACTTGGATGACTTGGACGTTTTCCCACGGTCAAGCTTAGATAGCCTGCACAAGATCGTTGGTATGTAATTATAAGGTATCCCCATCAACATGGCAAAACATCAACAATACCATGCAGTTGGTATTGCCAGAGTTTTAACTGTTAAGTTATGTTAATTTCCATGATACATCTTCATGTATAATTCCCACCATATTGATTAGGACTAAATACCCAAGACTGGAATGAATATCCATGAATATCCACTATTCATTGCTTAAATCCCTATTTCTGGTTTCTATCCCTATGAAATCACACCAAAATGATGATCAACTCCCACCCTCCACGATGATTTCCCCCAAATTCTGATTCACTTCCCATCCTCCCCAACGTCCGAAATCGCTCCTCCCATCCTCCAGAATCAGTTTTAATATACAGGATTTTAATATATGGAGGTACATGTATTACATATATCCGATATATCTCATTCGTTTTGTTTAAGGGTCTTTAAGAACTTGGAGGTCTTCCGGCCGTGGTACGCGGGGATGTTCTCGAAATGCGCTGCCAGCCCCAACTCTTTCACCAACTGATCGCGGCCGATGGTCATTGTGGCGAAGCCCGCGATCACCTGGGATCCGATGGGACTGGGGAGACTGGGGAGATTTCTTTGAGGGAGAGCCAAGTAGGAAGATGTAGGAAAAATTGGATGAATGGGAAATTGATCATGAACATATCTTGGAAGAAGTTTGGACATACTCATGCTGTGAATATAATGATGGACAGCTGAAATTTAGCTGGGAAGCATAGAACATACTCGAAAATTGTCTATATGCTACAAGTTGTGTTTTCTTTTTCCATCAATCAATGGATAGAAGTTGGTCTATATACCCATCTACCATCATCTGCCTAGGCATTATCCACCAAAAGAACATAAACCACGGTAAACCTACGGTAAACCTAGTTCATACTTGCCTATCGTTTGGGGGCTCCACAAACATTGCTGATCACCAGCAAAAAACTGCACGCAAAACCTATGGGAACATCATGGATTATGAATAGCTTCCATGCTGGCAGAGTTGTGACAGGACCGGTGGCTTTGCATTGGATGGTACAGTGGCATATTGGCATATAATTTTAAAGATACAATTTCCATGATTTGTTTTATGTGTTTGTAATAAAAACAGTTAGGATATTCAGGCTGTGGAACCCAGACTTTGGATGATCACCAATCCAACTCCGAAGGCGATTTTTCCAGATTCATTTTCAAAAGTGTCTTTTTATCACACGATTTTGGCCCTGGTCCAGTAGAAAAATGGCAAGAACCCATCATTTGATTCCAGCTATTCGATCCTGGAAAAATCCGGATGTCTACCAGGTAGTTTTTTCTCTACATGTATCTATATACATGATTTTAAAAGTTGATGTTAAAACTGAGAACCCACAGTACCAGTGCTACTCTGACCGTTTTTGGCTCTTGAGCTCGCACATTCTGGGCTCACTGAGTCCATTCTGGCACTGCACGTATCAGCTGGAAAGAGTAGCGGTGAAATTTTCTAGTGGATGCTTTTATCCCATTCACGTGAACTTTAAGATAAATAAAACACAGTTCCGTCTGAAGTCTGAAACAAGTCGTTTTTCACCAACTTTTTTAACAACCTCCCATCTGAAAGCATCATGTCGGGTGAGGTCAGAGGGGTCTTTACAATTCACCCAGAAAAAGTTACAGTAAAGCTTCCAAGTTTTTCACAGTTTTTCGCACCCAACCCTGATCACAACTTCGCCACAACCCACTCCCAGGCGGATTTCAGGGGGCGTAAAGCCCTGCGAAGAGCAAAGCGAAGGACAGGAAGAGCGTTCCTGGGGATGATGGGTGTCATGTGCAACTTGGAGATCATTTGGATCATTTGGGACCATTACAATATTCTTACGTTCAAGGAAAGGAACATGAAACATCTGTGATTCTGACATCACCAATTCTGACAAATAGCTGAGCAAAAAGCACTTCCTTGAAGTGGTAGAGAACCTGCTAACCCAATCACTATGGGACGAACCCCATGCCCAAAAGGGGACTTGCACCAGCCTTTTGCTTACCCTCCGGTGTCATCAAACGTGGCATGCTGGAAAACCCACCATTTAGTTCGATGTTTTTCCAAGCTATAAATAAACCGTGATTTTCCAGCCAGCCACGTTTGATGACACTGGAGGGTAGCCATTTTCGTGGGGGTCTCTTTCGTAAGCAACGAAGCCCAAAGGAGCATTGCATCAGATGATTTCCTACGGCACTCCGGGCTGGGTGCAACCTCCAAAATGGGTCCAAAATGGCACGTGATTTACCTTGGGGGTGCAGTTGGGGTTGCAATAAACTCCATGAGTTAGGACTATATATATATATATTATAAATGTATATACTGTATATATATATATACATACACTGAGTATGTATGTATTATATATATTATATATTTATAACCCCTATAACATGATGACACTTGGTTCACTGGAATTGCCCCCCATTGTCCAAGTTCAGAGGGGTATCTGAGTTTCTAAGAGGTTTGTGGTTGGACTTGGCCCCTATATGATCCCTGAAGTAGAGCATGTTCCAACTCAAGCCCTGTACAATCCCAACAACCGGTCATCACAGTCCGGCTATTTTCCTAACATCCCCATGTTTTGCTGCAATATTCTGATTTTGGTCGCTTTAATCCCCCGTCCTTGTGTTCAATCAAATCTTCATCTTACTTGGTTGATGCCCTAGTTGGTTTCTAGTTGTCGTCAGACCAGATATCATATCTATGATGCGCCCTGTGCTAATGCACTGGAAATCCCAAACATCCACTGACCGCGTATTTTCCAGTAAGAACAAGGATTTCCCAGCCATGTTAGATTCCAGATTCTGTGGGTTCAATATCCAGATGTAGAGCGTGAAAAAGAAAACATCTACTCTTCTCTGGAGAAATTTTTCGGAATGACCCCTGGCAACTTGGATCCCTACCATTCCCTGTGCCATGTAGAATGTTGACCCATGAGCCTCCGCTCCCTTCGCGGATCGCTCCTTGCAGCTATCACCATTTTCGACCCCTGTGATTTTGCGCACTGAGTCGAAATTCCTACTGAATTATGTACTGAAAAAAACAGACACCAAATTCTGAGATCTTCAAATTGCGAAAAAAACCATCCCCCTGTGAATTAAGGGGATGGGGTTGTGCAACCATTTAGTAGTGGAAATCCACTGGGGGATAAAAAAAACATGTTACCCTCTGGTAATTTAACATAGCTTTGGAAAAGCACCATGTTTAATGGGAAAATCCACTTTAAATGGCCATTTTCAATAGCTATGTTAAATTACCAGAGGGTAATCCCAACTTCTGACCACAAAACCGACAAAACCCCAGAGATTTCACGGCCAAAATCACCGCTCCAAGCGTCGAAAACCGCCCACTAGGCCTTTCACCATGAGCCGCAGCTCCTGGCCCGGGGTGAATTACCGACTGATTGCGTTGGATCAACGACGAAGTAAACAAAACTGGTCATTTGATATAATATGATATAATATATATACATATATTATATCTATATATATTATATAAATTTATATAATACTATACAAGTTTGTTTTTAAGGGACTAGACTAACCTATTATCTAGCTATATATTGCAGGTTATAGAATCTACAGTGGGATATTGGTAGGGCTACAGCTTTTTCAACTGGTTATCCCATGAATGGATAGCCCTCTCTTATTCCAAAGAAAATCCTGGTTGGTTAAGAACGGGATTCCCCGTTCTTGGATTATGAAATCATCCCCAATATATTGGGTAGTATATGGTAGTATAATCCCCGAACTAATCATCAACCAACCATCATGTATCACTAATATCCCCACATTTTCATGGTCAAAATCCCATTTAAAATTACTATAATCATCAACCAACAGGATGTCCTTCATGTACTTCACTCGGAAGACCTTCACCACTCGCACCAGGCGACAGAAGCGGAGTAAGGAGGCGCTGAACATGTCCTCGGCGCAGTTTAAAACCGTTAGATAAGGGGAAGAAAAACACAGGTTTGACATGGGTTTGACCATTTTTCTTTGAAGAAAAGACCTGAACGATAGAGAAAGCAAAGAGAATGAGATGAGAACACTTGAGATCGAGGATTTTCCCGCAGCAGTCTCATCCCGATGGAATGACACCTGGAACCGGTTTTGGCAGTTTTTTTCTGCCATAGAGAAGCAGTAGATCAGCATCTGTCATCTGAATATATCAAATATATCGGTGAGATTCTGTGAGGATCTCTCTAGACTCTAGAATATAACCAGTTAACAGGATATATTAAGCCACATAAATGCTCACTGCTCCTTATTATTACCCTTCAATGCCCCCTAGGGCCCAAAGGACCTAAAGCCTTGCAAGACACCCAAACAACATGCAATGAGGTGGCAAATGAGGTGTAAGTAACCGCAGTTGAAATGACGGATCTTCACATGCCGGCTTTGTTGATTTTTGTTTGGCATCACCACTATTCATCAGATCATCTTGGTCTATTTACTCTGTTCTAAATTAGGATTTCAAAACAAGCACTCCTTCATTCAGCAAATTAAAGTTTTGTGTACTAGTAGGATGGTTCTTGAACTATATCTAAGTATGGGCATGGGATAGCATGGGCCAAAATTCGGTAATGCGGGTACAGCAATAATAAACCATCCGCCAAATCACCATAAATAGGTGTTATAAACCGATAAACCATTCCCCAATGGATGATTTATTATTGTTTTACCCACATTACACCAAAATGGGACGGCTTACTATACATGTTTCAAAATCTGTATTCCCCTGGATCTTAACTTTTGACCCATGTGCCCACGCATAATATACCCAGTACATAACATCACACTCTATAGTATACAACATGAATCACAATCATATCTGTATATATATATATATACATATTCACATATATAATCATATATATATATATAATCATATTTATATAATCATATATATAATAATATGTATATATATATACATATTCACATATATAATCATATATATATATAATCATATATATAATCACATATATATATATATGTATATATATAATAGTGTATAATCACACATGTCTATATTATTATACGTTTCAACTATAACATCAATTCCGTGGGTTCTTTGTGGGTTCTTTTTTTGGGAGCAAAAATCTTCGTCGTCCCGTCGTCACCCAGTGGCGGATCGGGACTGCACAGCGATCTCCACCACGATATCAGTAAGACCAGTGAGAAGAAGAAACAGATCCTTTGCGGTTCTTGCTGGCTCATCCCACTGAGGTTATAGTAGGTGAATAGTAGGTGAATAGTAGGTGAATAGTATAACCATCTTAAAATCGTAGGTTAAAATCGTAGGTTTTTTTATCCCTGGAGATCCCTTAGTTTTCACTGGGAGCCGCCATCCAGGATCCAACGGATCAGGGCGAGATGGTGGAAAACTCCAGCTTTTTGAAGAGGAATAGTCATGTGATATATAATATATATATATATATACCCTCCGGTAATTTAACATAGCTATTGAAAATGACCATTTATAGTGGATTTACCCATTGAAAATGGTGATTTTCCATAGTTATGTTAGTTTACCAGAGGGTATATATTTTTAGTTGGGGTTTTAAGATGGTTATACAAAGAACCAAAGAATTATATAGGGCTTTACAGCAAGCCATGATAATTAGCAGCTGGTTAGCAACTATGGTCAGAAATCATGGTTGGTTCACCCATTTACATGTGGGACAACCCCACAAGAAGGGGGTTGATCCTCCCAGTGCTGATAGTGCTGGCGCAGGATCTGGGTGGATAGGTGATATTAGTGAGACTGGCTGACATTTCGCCTAGAAATTGGACTATTGAAGACTAAATCACCCATGAAATATCTGTTTCAAATCATCTCCACATCACATCTTCTTAGCACACAATCCAGTAATTGATCTCGACAAATGACGAGATTGGCTCACTATTACTGGCCGCAAAAACTGGATGCGGCACCCTATTGTAATTTAACTTAACAGTTTGCTATGGAACAATAACATTAAAAGATGTGAAAATCATATTGAATCGTTAAATCATTATGAATTATCGCTAAATGGATCATTTTCCATAACTGTGTTAAATAACCAGAGGGTAAAATATTGGAAACCACTGGCTGCGACACAGCTCCGTGAGAACCAGGGCAGGGGGGGAACTCTTCTGGCCACAGATTGAGGACCGTCATCTCATTTTTAGGCATGTCAAGAAATTTTTGAATACCAAGTTCTATTCACCAGTGGTTTCCCCAGAATCACTCAATATCCCAAATATGACAGTTCGATGAACATGAAGCACATCAGACCCTGTTTGTTTCCAAAGACACTGGTGACTGTTTTCATGATTCCCTTCCAAGTAGCGGTGAACATAGAAATTATATAGAATCCAGGAGAATCAGGAAAGCTACCAGGACACCGTCTTCGGTGATGTGGAATTCCATGTCATTGGGCAAAAATGCGAAGCTGAAAAACGGCGAGCTGAACCATCTGAACCAAAAACCCCTGGTGTTTTCCCAAAACTGGGGACTTTCCGATTTCGAAGCGAAATTTTTCGGTCTTTTACCAGCTCTTCAGATCTCTGCGCCAAGGCACGAAATAGTTCCAGGCATAATCAGCTCCCAAGAAATAGCCCTTGAGTCCTGAAAGATGGATCCTGAAGCAGGAGATAGTGCCACTGAGCGGTGAATTTACATGTTTCCTGACAGGAAACAACACCTTTTTTCTAAGCTTGCAACTATCTGAATCCAGATTCTTTGTTGTTTTTTTGGGGTTCTTTTGGTCTATGGGGGGAGGGTCCATTTTAGCCTACAACACCCTAAAACACAAGTTCTACAAGCCCAGTTTCGTTTCATCTGGAAAAGTGCGTCGAAATCCGCTGGTGAAACCGAGCATTCCCTTTACGACATCCCACAGTCCCATCACATTTGTGGATTCTGCATGAGTCTGGCCACGTCATGCTAGATTCCTGCTAGATCACTTTAGATCACTTTTTGAGTCACCAGATGGACCAGAAGTCATAAACCTGACTGGAAGACATTGCTTGTTTTCTCTTGCCATGTTCTTATCATTCTTGGTGAGGCCAGCCAAATCTACCTGCTGCAGCGTCAAGGCACCTGAGAACGACCTCCAGAATTAGCACCACAGCGAAGATCACCTGCCGCGCGGCTTGTGAAATGCTGGGTGCCTTTAAAGATAGAGATGAATGTGGGTAAAACAATGCCATAAACCATCCCCCAGTCATCACCATTTCTATAGGTAGGATTCAAACCGTTCCCAGTCATGGGTGGTTTATGACATTGTTTAAAAGTTTTAACCTCATTATTTTTTTGATATTTTTGTTGGCCTTTGGATGCTTTTGTTTAGCATGTTTCAAGCAATTTCTGAACCCAAAGGTCCCTGATGAGGTACGGCCAGCCACCGACATGTCACCGACCTGTCGAGGAACGTGATTTTCTGGACACTCTCCGCCAAAACTGAAACTGTGAAGTTCAAGTGTCTCATGTGGTGTCTTCAAGGTGTTGAACAGCGAATCTCTAGGGTTTTCAAAGAAAACGAAAAGACACCGAACAAACCTGGCGAATCTTGTGAGGGCTTATCCATTGTCTGTTAAATAAGGCAACAATCATAATACAGTCAGTGGTGGTGCCATCCGCAAGTATAAATCGCTTTGCAATCGTCTTCCCAAGAAGGAGTGAACTTGCAAAATGAGCAGTGTTCAAAACCCCGAAATGTCACTCCGTGAAATGCTGCTTGGCTAAAACCGGGATTCCCACAATGGATTGTGATAATACCCAATATATAAAGGGTAAGTTGATACCCACCGAACTAATCATAAACCAATAGGGTTTAGCAGCCAATGCTCAAATGTTTCATAATGGTTCTTCCATCTATGAAACCACCAAGCAGCGGTCAACTTAGTGCAACTTAGTGAGTTACAAGGTATAGTGGCATTAGTGGCCATGGGGGGGGCGAACCTCCAGGTAGATCCAGCCGGTCCAGTTCTCCTAGGGCTGAAAATATCTCCCCGATCCAAGGTGCGGCCCCCACCGCAGTTACAAATGGCCAGATAAACAGGCACGATTGCACAATTTTCCCTGCCAAATTGATCAGATTGGCTATAATTCTGGAGCAATCCTGAATATTCTGGCAATAACAACAATCCAAATGATCATCAAAAGTCATATCTCCAACTTTTTTCCGTTCAGCAAATTAGCTGATCACGGCCCTGAGAAAAGTCAGACATCAGATGGTCAAAAAACGAGCAGCAGCTGCCAACTTTTTGAAAGACGTCTTCTCCAAGGCCCTGACATACTGGGGATCTGTTTGGAAGCCAATCATGATGCCATTGGCCTACCCAGGGATCGTAGGGAGCAAAACTGGGATATCTATCAATTTTGTCATTATATGTATAATATAATGCTGCTAGTAATTATTGCATATCTATCATCGGCTTGTGGTTATGTGTATCTATGTGTATTTCCATCATCCCTTTGCATGTTCAAAAGACATGTGAATAGTTGCCTCATTGATGGTCACGAACCCCAGGAATCGGGATTCCTAACGACCCGCATGGTCACGAGCCCCTGCTCCACACCCAAGCAACTTTCAGAATCCTGAGGGGCCCAGGGTGACTGCCAAGCGCGCTTCACGCCAAGGAACCACAATCAGAATCGCTACGAAGGGTTCAATAAAGATCAACCTGATGGCATGGCGAAACATGGGGATAGGTTAGACAAAAAAACTAGGGAACTAGTCTAAACCCAATTTTTACACTCCACTGCAAGGTTCCAAACTTCACGTAGAAGGTTTATTTGCCCAAATTGTAAGGCCCCGTCTTCGGCCAATCTATTTTGGACGTTCACTGGACTTTGGTTGAGCCTTTGGCCTGAAACTGTTGTGATTTCAATGGGATGTGGCCCGCGGCTCAAATGTTTCAATCAATATTTGCTGAAAAATCCACATGGTTGATATATCCCATGAATACTATAGATGTATCTACCATAACTGGTTGGTGGTTTCAACCCCTCTGAAAAATATGAAAGTCAGTTGGGATGATGACATTCCCAATATATGGAAAGTCATAAAAGCCATGCTCCAAACCACCAACCAGTGTTTGTTGGTTTATAAGCCATTATAATCCCATTAATTATCCCCATTTTCATTATAGTTATATCTAGCTTAAAAACCATGCATACTATAGATCTATCTACCATAAACCATAGATTTTTCTCCACTTTTTTCCGGCGAACACATGGATTTTCTCATCGTTTTTCATCGCAGCGACGGATGGATCTTCTCGGGGGGCGCCACCAAATCGTTGATGCGGACCTTGCCGCCACATGTCGATCGCTTGAGATGGCCATTGGGGACAGCTGCATATCTAAGGCCTATGTATATATAAATGTTCATATATATGTATGTAATGTAATGCAATGTAATGTAACGTATGTATATAGTATATAATATATATAGTATATATATAATATAAAATATATATATAATATATATATAATATAATATAATATATATAATATATATAATATATATACTATATATAATATATAAAATATAATATAATATATCTATAATATAATATATCTATAATATATAAAATAATATATATAATAAAAAATATAATATATGATATATGAAATATGATATAATATATATATATATTATCATATATCATATATCATGTATCATATCATATGTAATATATAATATATATCATATATCAAACATCATATATCATATATCATATATCATAAATCGTATATCATATATCATATATAATATATAATGTATCACAATAGCTTTTTTTAGTTGCCGGCCATCCCGGCCACGGCCCGGCCACGGCCACGGCCACAGCCACCCGGCCACCCGGCCACCCGGCCACCCGGCCACGACCACGGCCACCCGGCCACCCGGCCACGCGGCCACGCGGCCACGGCCACGGCCACGGCCACCCGACCACGGCCACACGACCACGGCCACACGGCCACATGGCCACATGGCCACACGGCCACACGGCCACACGGCCACACGGCCACACCCGGCCATCCGGCCACCCGCCAGCCGGCCACCTGTTTCCTGTGTTTTTGATGGAATTACTGTAATTGTTTTGAGCTTCTTAACTTTTTCGAACAACTTGCGACACGCTCCTGCATGGTGCCTGGTGCTATGCTCTTTTCTTTCCCAGGCAGCTTTGCAACATGCTCTTGATGCTATGCGCTGAACCTTTTCAAGCAACTTGCAACGCACTCTTCCTGCTACTCTTTGAACTTCTCAGGCGACTGGCAACACACTCTTGATCCCACACTTTCAACTTTCTCCTGCAACTTACAACACGCTCTTGGTGCTAACCCTTTCGGGCCCTCAATCCCAAATTTCTCAAGCAACTTGCAGGCTCTTGGTGCTACGCGCTTAACTATTCCAAGCAGCATGGCACACGCTCTTGATGCTACGCCCTCGATGTTCTCAAGCAACCACGCAACACGCTCTTGATGTTACTTCTCTCATGCGCTCAACCTTATGGTTGTGGTGGATTTTGACATGGAACACGTATAACCAGGTGTCACTGTTCTAAATCATGTTTGCAAGGAATTAACGTTCATTTTTGCTGCCAATAGCTATTTTACCCCCCAAAAAAAGAACGCAAGTGAATGCACCTCCGAGATCTTCACTTTCAGCTGAATTTCCACGGTAATGCTACTGGTAGTGATGATGATGGTGGTGGTGGTGATGATGGTGATGTCGATGAGAGATAATAATTATTCAGATGTTTCATTGGCTCTGCAGGGCACACAGTGCCAAAATTCTTTTTAGGTTTTCAGGGCCCAAGCAGTTTGAGCATCCAACAGTCACAAGCAGGTGTCAACTACCGTGACTATCTGCCCTTTTAATTTCTATTGATGATATTTACAAGTTTTCTGTGATATGACATTCTGATCGTTTCTTGCCACTTGTTTAAGGTGCCTGGCATCTGAGAGGCTCGCGACTGTTGTCATATTTTGCCTTCTACTATGAAAATAACATTGTGTGTGGGGGGTGGGGTGGGGTGCAGGGGGTGGGGTGGTATAATAATGTCACATACACTTCCACACATATGTGATGCAACATATCTGTACGCTCTCTTGCATTTCATTCACATCCACACTTACGTCTGCTACGCTTCTGTAAACTCTTTGGCACTTCCACACAGACGCGTCATGCTACGCTGTAGGTTCTTTTGCGCTTCCACACATGCGTCATGCCACGCTGTAGGTACTTTTGCACTTCTACACATGCGCCATGCTACGCTGTAGGTTCTTTTCCACGTCCACACATACGTCATGCTACGCTGTAGATTCTCTTGCACTTCCACACATACGTCATGCTACGCTGTAGGTAGTCTTGCACTTCCATACATGTGTCATGCTACGCTGCTGTAGATTCTCTTGCACTTCCACACATACCTCATGCTACGCTGTAGGTGCTCTTGCACTTCCACACATGTGTCATGTTACGCTGTAGGTCCTCTTGCACTTCCGCACATGTGTCATGCTACTACGCTGCTGTAGATTCTCTTGCACTTCCACACACACCTCATGCTACGCTGTAGGTACTCTTGCACTTCCACACATGTGTCATGTTACGCTGCTGTAGGTTCTCTTGCGCTTCCACACATACGTCATGCTACGCTGTAGGTTCTCTTGCACTTCTACACATGCGTCATGCTACGCTGTAAGTTCTTTTCCATTTCCACACGTCATGCTACGCTGTAGGTAGTCTTGCACTTCCATACATGTGTCATGCTACGCTGCTGTAGATTCTCTTGCACTTCCACACATACCTCATGCTACGCTGTAGGTAGTCTTGCACCATACATGTGTCATGCTACGCTGCTGTAGATTCTCTTGCACTTCCACACATGTGTAATGCTCCTACGCTGCTGTAGATTCTTTTGCGCTTCCACACATACCTCATGCTACGCTGTAGGTACTCTTGCACTTCCACACATACCTCATGCTACGCTGTAGGTACTCTTGCACTTCCACACATGTGTCATGCTACGCTGTGGGTACTCTTGCGCTTCTACACATGCGTCATGCTACGCTGCTGTAGGTTTTTTTTGTACTTCCACACATGTGTCAGGCTACGCTGTAGGTACTCTTGCACTTCTACACATGCGTCATGCTACGCTGTAGGTTCTGTTGCACTTCCACACATACGTCATGCTACGCTGTAGGTACTCTTGCACTTCCACACATACGTCATGCTACGCTGTAGGTACTCTTGCACTTCCACACATACGTCATTCTACGCTGCTGTATGTTCTCACCGTATGATGATGATGGTGGTGATGATGATGATGATGATGTTCATATTGCTGATGATACTAAAGTTTCGTTTTTGAGCCTTTTCAATTCCCCCCTAGAAAATGTTTGAAAAGTGACGACAATCACGGGCCTCTCAGATGCCCGGCACCTTGTTTAACAAGTTGTTTCCTATTCCATGATGCATCTCGTGTCAAGTGCTTGTCTTCGCCGTCATTTGCTGGTGTACACCTTTTGTTCACTTCATCCATCTCCTCCTCCCGTGAAAGAAATTCTACTGCTGCTGGCTTCCTGTGGCTATTCCATGTGATAATGAAGGCGATTGTCAAATAGAGCTTTGACAAAAGAGGCAAGAACTGAACTGCTGAACTGCATGGAGTGATCGTGTTGTCTTAAAGGGGAATGAGTTTATACATGTGGGTAGGAATTAGCACACAAATCGATGTTTCTGGTTGAGACATATATGGTAAATTTGTTCAAGCAATCTTGCGCCACATACGGGACAGCAAAACGCTGCTTGATATTGTTTGAAATCAGCAGTAAGCAAATTACAATCATCTTCTAAAAACGCTCCTCCCCCCCACCGCCACCCACCCACAAATCCCGGCCAACCGGCCATCCGGCCACGGCCACGGCCACCCGGCCACACCCGCCCACCCGCCCACCTGCCCACCCAGCCAGGCGGCCATCCGGCCACCCGGCCATCCGGCCATCCGGCCACGGGCCCGGCCATCCGGCCACCCGGCCATCCGCCCCATCGCCCCGGCCACAGCCACGGCCACCCGGCCACGGCCACCCGGCCACGGCCACCCGGCCACCCGGCCACGGCCACCCGCGTGGCCGCCCGGCCACGGCCACCCGGCCACGGCCACCCGGCCACGGCCACGGCCATGCACGAAAAAAATCTATCCTCATAATGTATATATGTATGTACCTATATTGTGTATCTATAATGATATATATATATATATATGTCAGAACATCATCTTGTCCTTGGGGCCCCATCGGTTTCCGGGATCCTCCAGTTATAACCTCATACCCATCACTCCGCCATGATTTGGGGCTTTTTTCCTCACCAGTGTGAGGGCTTTTTTCGCTGATCATGCCCATATCAAACCACTTCTAGAAACCAAATGGCAGTGTGTCAAAACCTTGTACCCCTGGTGAACATCAAAAATAGCTGGTAAATGGATGTTCATCCCACTAAAAATGGTATTAATAGGTATTGACCCATACCCAAATGTCACCAAAGCAAAGAGAAAACTGACACAAAAGTCGACTCCAGGCTACAAAGGTCAATTCGGCCACCAGTCGGTTGGTATCACCCGCCAACAAAATCTCCTTCATAGCCTCGATTTCATGTCGAGCCACATGGGATTCCAAGTGGTACCTGATTAAAAAAAAATGATATATCATATATCAATAATTTCAATTGTTGCATGTTTTTTCTGCTTTTTTGGGGTTGGGGATGATATCTTCTTCTGGCGGGGATGATATATTTATTATCATAGAAGTGCGTATGCTTATGATTGATCAAATTTATCTTGAGCAAATATAAAAATAGGGGCTTGACTTGTTGGAAAACATGATTGTCTGGAGGTCTTGGTATATCTGGCAGCCAGCTCTGACTGAGTTGTCACCTTTGTTTCTGACCGTGTTGACCCCGTAAAATAAAACGTCCGCCATAAAAATGAGAATGACATGGGTTCCAGATTACAATACGATAGGTCATAACCTGCAAGAAGTGGGAAACGATATGACAGTGTATATATATATACACATCATTTTATATCATTGTTACAAAATTATATGACTAAATATGCATAAATATGAATGAATACAGTTTGAAGCTTGTAGGTCCTTGGCCCCAGTAGTTGCAAGTAGGAAGGATGGGCTATGGCCCGGAGCATCATTGGGATATTTGGGCACACACACACCCAACTTGCTTACCATTGAGTGACTTCGGGCATGACCCTAGTGGACGACATTTAGACGTTCAGAAGCATCTGGGAAAACACAGAGTGGATTGAGAACAGAAGTGGAAGCGACAGCATGGCACAGCCAATTTGAGCCAGTGAAATTTTGCCACCTCAGCATACCCCAGCGAAAAATCGCCTCGTGTTTCCCTGTGTTTCAGTGCTGCACGCCTCGTATTGAGTCATCATGGTAACTCCGAAGATCTTCTTCAATAACTCCTTGTCCCTTGGTGTGGCTCTAAGGGACTGGAGCCATGTCTCCACTATGCACAACTCGTCTCTGCACCTAGCTCCCCCAGACATGGGCCCCCGGATAGAAGTTGGTTTTATAAAGGTTATAACATGTTATAACCCCATTAACTATAGCTGTTATAGCTCTGCCATAAATCCCGGTTTTTGGAGTGAACTAAACCAACTGAGCCGCTATTGTTTGGAGGCCTCACCTTGTAGCTTTTCCCCTTGATCATCTTGATCTGCACCACCATATGGGTTGCCCAAAAAAACACATGGGGGATGGGAGATGATTGCCACATATGGCCACCTTAACTGGAAAATTATGTTTACTAAGCCATGGGATATGTTTAAGGCTTGTCCCCAGATTTTCAGAGAAAACCCATCAAACACGAGGCAATTCCATGGCCTCAAACTTGATTCTCCCAACATTTTGCCAACCATTTTCAGAAGAAACAACAATTAACCATACAAGTACTCCCCAAAAAAATACGAAAAATGTGAAAACCCCACATTTTCCCTCCATGTTCCAGGCCAGGTGCTTGGTTACAAAGACATCGCTCAAGGCCTTCAGTGGCACCAGGTTTTTGGCCTGCGGAGGCTTCTCTCCGTGCCCGTGAGCGCTGCCCTGCGCGGAGTCTGGGGCACTTCGTGAACTTCGTGATGGTGTCATGACATGGCTGTGCGGGGAGAAGTTTAGCCAGAAAAATGGTGATTCAATGGTGATTCAATGGCAATTTTATGGTGATTTGATAATTTAGAGGGTGATTTCGTGGTGATTCAATGGGGGTATTGGGATATTCAACCACTCTTTCTATGGCTTGTCGAGCATGGGCTTCCTCAAGTATGCTTCTGGAAGGAATTTAACCTGGCCTTGAAGTTTTGGGAGTGCCGGCATTCTTTGGTTGAAAAGTTGAAAAGTCTGGGGTGAGATGATATACCGGTATATGGGAGACTTGAAGTGATTCTTTATGTGGCGGTGGGAAGCAGTTGGAAGCATTGCAGCAACAGGTTGGCTGCGGAACTGATCGAAGGATTAGGGATTTTCCATAGCCATGTCTTCCGATGGGGTATACATTGACCATTGAATACGAGAGAACATGATAAACTGGTAATTCATGGTAATTCATGGTAATTCACCAAAATGGCACTGGAGGAATTTAATGCTCGGATTGCCAAATCCATTCATTAATCCGTTGGTTTCTATTGGTATTCCCTAAAGGTGTCTGGCTAGCCCAGATTGGTATTGATAGATTATATATGTTGATTCCCTATATCTATTGGCTATCCATTCCCGAAAAAGCCCTATATCTATTGATTTTTCTATTCCCTATTGATATTGATTGGTGTTTTCCTGGCCAAAAAGAACCGAGTTTAACGGTGGCCAGCCCCTGGCCAGCCCCTTTAAGGTCCCTGGCACCAGGTCTGTTCGGCCTGGGTGGATTCATTCTCTTGTGGCCAGTGCCAGACCTGGAGATCCATGGAGATCTCAGGCAGAAAACCATCCCAGACTGGGAAATTCATAGCCATATGCAAAGAAAAATATGCGAAGCCATGGTGCTGGTATATTTACCAACCTACCAGCAACTGGGTGATTTTGTTTGGGCAAATGTTGGGATTCATATACCAGCACCATGGTTCGCATATGGGATAGAAATGAATCTAAACAGATCTCTAAACCCCAGCAGATTTATGTAGTTTAAGCGTAATCTCTGCACTATCTGACCTATATCATGGACTACCTTTGGTTGAAAACGACCCAATTGCAACCTTGATATGGCTCAAACTTATTGAAGCGCAAAATTGGTTTGGATGGACTAGGCCTACATGTTTTTCCTAAAGTGGATATGTATACGAGTGATTGACCACAACAAACGGATGGTTTATATAGTCAATATAATATCCTAAAAACGCCCAGCCATGAAACAATGATCAAAAAGGGATTGTCGACACTTGTGGTATCTATTCCAAGTCGTTCCTTCCATCGATTTTTTAGATTTTTTTGGGACGTTCAAGAGAAAACGACATCTCTGTACTGCAACATACTGCAACTGATGCATCAAGTATATAACCACCATTAACCACCAATCTTCAGGCACAGCTAGGCTCCGGATTGAGTAAGCATATTCACCAAGCCTAGCTCTTTGGCTCCCCAGTACCGGCCAGTATCCTCATTGCCATTAAATGCTGTTGCAATCCCAATTTCTTTGCACCCCATATCATCTTTAGTATGCATACGCAAAATAATATGTCGTTAAGTGGCAGAAACCCAACGAAATTTGCTGGTAAGATCCCAATACTTTCCAATCCGGCCTTCTTTTACCTATCACCTTGGGAAACTCTGATTGTAGCTCCAGATATCACCAGATAAGGCAAACAAACGCATGCTGCCATGTCTTCTCCCATCGCAACGCTGGGTGACGGGTCGACCCAGGAGGTCTCGATGCTCGTCTTGGAACTGGAAGACGTTGTTAGAGGATTGGCTCCGGCGGAAGCCATTCTTGCCTTCCTCGCGAAAGCTCAAAATGGTGAGCGAACTATGGGAGAAATGACATGATTGGAATATTTGGATAGTGTCAGATGTAAAGATCTACATCCTCAAACCAAACATGTCAGCACTTTATTTTTTTTAGCTCATTCAAGAGATGTCTGCATGTCAGGAGTCAGGATGATTGATATGCGTTTGGACTCAACCACCAACCATTGGGACACTAGCCACATCTAAGTATATAACAACAATGGCGCTACATGGCGCTACGATATACCCTGCAAATTGAGGGATTTAACATAATTGAAACAGTTCAACATGCCACATACGTTAAAAAAACGCATGAAACACAGTTTGAGCCTTAGGCCTAGTCATGAACACTGGAGCCATAGTATCAGCATCTATCATGATACAACTGCAAAGAAACTTCCCAGGGTTGCGGCGGCAGGGCCTTCTTGACAAATCTGAGGTCAATGTAATCTGCCAATACATTGACCTCGCTCAGTGAGAAAGATGAGGCCTAGCGGAATCCGGAGTCTTTCAACATATCTATCTTCAAACCACAAGAAAAACAGAAGCTTCTCCCCAGATTCCCATTGGGGCTCCCCAAATATTCCAACTTTTCGTTCCTGGTCGGACTGGTCAAGCTGGTCGGAGTAGACAAATCTCACACCATACATTTGGTCACGCTGAATTGATGTGGGCAAATTATATGGGATGACAACATCAATTGCCATATCTGGGATGCTGTAATGAAAGGGCAATTGTCCCCCAATCACCGTGATAAAGGCGGCCGCGTAGCAAACTCGTTCATGTCATCTTCCGTATACGTAGTCAATCCCAACCTTGAACGCAGTGCTGCGAACTTTCATGGGACAAAGCTCAAGGACAAGCAAAAAAAACGGGTGACAGCATAGATGTGCTGTATTGTATATACAACGTTATATAACTGCAACTATCTGCCACTATACATCTACAATCTACAATACAACAATGCTAAGCCCTGAATAATATCATTCACAAGTTTTCTTTTTCAGTTCTTAGGTGGCGACAACTACAAGCTTCAAACAACTGCGGAACCATGTCTATTTGACCCAAGCTGAGAATCATCTATACAACACATGTTTTTACACAAAAGACACGTTGAATTTTCATGACATTTTAAAGTAGTTGGCGGTGTTGTCTGTATATTTACATATGGTTCTTACAATGATCCCACATTGTAATCCATACTAAACGATGGATGTATTATGTTCATGTCATAATCCCTGTGTACGACTACTTTTTCATCCCAAGATTGGATTTTGAAAAGACATAGTATACAGTACCTCCCACTTTTTGCCTGCTTAAACATGTAGAACAAGCTATCAATCATGTCACCTGTCAATGAGCTTTAGAACAACTTGTGGGCGGTTCACGCACCGATGGTCGGCAGTACAAGGATACACCTAAAAGCAAAATGGGGAAAGGTGATGAACTGCTGTATCAACACCAATTGATTGGGGGTCTTTGACCGCCTCCAGAAACAAATCAGCCAATGCTGGCGCAATATATCTTCCGAGCCAGGGATAGAGTCTATCGGATAGAGTCTGGGGCAAAACCCCACAGTTAGCTTAGATGGAGACTGGGTAACACCCCTAAAACGTACCCCTTATATTTGGGGTCGTAGCTTAGCTACTAAGGTATCTTTTAATTTTCAGACACCAACTTACCATGATTTAAAGCAACTTTTGATGGTGTATCCCAAATGAAACATCCAGCGATCTAGACCAGACATTCTGGTTTACCCAATATCAACAAAAACATATCAACCATCTATATAAACCAGATATTGGCTTGATCAATATCAACTTATCAACATGTAAGTAGTATAAAGCTAAATATAAATATACGTATATACCTGCACATATTCAACAAACATCATTATCATTTTTCAAAATATGTATAGTCCATTGTAATTCGAATTATATCTATATTTATATATAATATATACCAGTATGTATTAGTATAATCGTAGAATTCTCTGCAGTACACATCTTGCCCAACACGTCCCAAAAATACGTCCCAGTTTTATCCCAAGCGATTTTACGACCATCCAAATCGACCCTGTCGCCGTGCCACGCTTCGACGGTAATTTGCCTCGCTGTTCACTGTTCACCATGAAATCGGAGGGAGATCAGGTTCTTACCCTCTGGTAAACTAACATAACTAATTATGGAAAATCACCATTTTTAATGGGAAAATCCACTATAACTGGCCATTTTCAATAGCTATGTTAAATTACCAGAGGGTAATCAGTTTTTTCAGTGGAAAACTTATGGGGGAAATCATCACTGACATCACTGGTTGGTGGTTGAGCCTAGCCCTCTGAAAAATCCATGGGTTGTGAACTAGTCAGTTGGGATGATGAAGATCTCCCAAGTGAATGGAATTTCATAATCCAAATGTATCCAAATGTTCCAAACCACCAAACAGATCATAGGGAAAGTGATGTTCTTCAAGGTTCTTGAGTGGATGGAATGGAGTAGCAAATTGGATCATGGTTTATACCCACAACCATTGAGGTTCTTAAACTCGTTGGCATTCAACCCTCTGGTGGGTAAACAAACTTCTAAGACAAACAAAATGGCCAACTAGGGTTGAGGAATTCGTAATGATAGGTGAGAATGGGGTTTAAAGTTAAAAGGTTGATAATGATCATAAGGCAAAAAGTGTAGCACTTACCTGGGGTTATGGAAAAAGAGACGGGAAACCCATGGTTCCGGAAATATGTTCCCATCATCCATTTATGTTAGATGATGAAATGATATGAAATGTTTGTTTACTGGATGAGTAATATCTAGAAACAACTTTATATTTCAACATGTTGCTTGGTGACGTGAATCCCAATATCCCAATTGAATCCACAATCTTTGGATTACAATCATCATCATCATCATAACATTTTTTTTATGACAATACATGGGTGGGTTGGTTGAAGGGTAATCCATGTATTATCATTATCATAATGCCTTAAATGGATCCATGTCACATAATACATAATGAAGGGTAATTCCACATGTGTTCTTCTAAAAAAACTATGTGACATGGATATCATGGATCCATTTGGCATCGCAAAATGTGGATCCAAACATTCGGCTAATCCCACAGTCGAAGCATGTCTGAACCCCTCCCCCACAGTGAAGTCCGAAAATCCTGAAGGACTTAAAAATCGGTCAACATTCCGAGCTGATTCATAGCTTTCAAATCAATCAACAAGTCCATTTTGGGGAGGATTTTCCATAGAAATTCCGTATACCCTCTGGTAAACTAACATAACTATGGACAATCACCATTTTTTATGGGTAAATCAACTATTTCTATGGCCATTTTCAATAGCTATGTTAGTTTACCAGAGGGTAAATTCCATAGAAAACCCCCATCCCGTTGCCTGAGATGAGCTTGTTTTTACTCATAGCACCCAAACGCACCTGGAGACCTCAGTGCGAAACGCGAAACTCTCCATGGAAACCAAGGCTGCTTGTCTTCCGACCCGAGTTTGTATTTCAATATTATTGGCCAAAAGAGTTTCTATTCATATACTATATAGATGTATTAATATATGTATTAATATATGTATTATATTGTATTATATATAGAGATATGGCGATTGATCTAAATTCCTTGCCTTCACCGCAGGTCAGAGCCCAGGACTCCAAGAGTTTCTCCCGTTGGATCGTCCCGGACGTCCGGGAAAACCCAGCCCGAAGAATTTCGACAGAAAAACCATGGAAAAACCATGGAAAAACCGATGGAAATCCACATCACCAGCATCCTGGACATTTTCTGTTCGAATCTTTGAACAACATTTGTTGGGGGTTACCATGCAAATGACTGTATGAAAAGAGCTACAAAAATTTGTGGTTCTTTTGTTGTAAATTGATGTAAATCATACCAGATCTGGGTGTGGCTCAAAACCCTGGCACCCGGATGGTTTTTTTGGCTGGTTGATGGATGTTGATTCAGTCATGTCATAGGTTTCGACCCATCCACATCTGGCACATTCTCATGCTGAGAAACGATGTCGAATGGCCTGCGTTGCACCTGAGGCCAGCTGCCAGCTGTTTTTTTTTCCCCGGAGTGCAACCCTTCTGCAGCAGAGCAGCAAATAAATGAATCAAAGATAAACCAAAATCAAGACCGGAATGACTTGAACGCCAAAACCAACCAAAACCAATACTTTGAGATGTTCAGATGTTCCCTGTGTAGGGAAACCCTGTGTATCCAAATTCAATACAAATCAAATGGAGGATGACCTGTGTAGGGGCCGTTTTCAGAAGCTGGGCGCTGAGTGGTTCAACACCCAGCGGCCGCAATGTCGCAATATGTCTCGATATCCGGAAATCTGGCAACATCTGAGGAACGGATTTGAATGATCAAGATCAATCAAAATCCGAGAATCACATGAGCCATTAAACAAGTTTAAACATGGCCCTGTTGATTTGTGGCTTCAATTGGGATCTTCTACTGGCTGGTTCATTGGGAGTGTACTGTCTCACATCGACCCATCTTCACCACAGAAGACAATGCTTTGTCTTAACACTGGTGATTGACTCCAAGCACATCTTTCCTGTAGCCCAATAAAACAAGAACTATGCCCCCAAAAAATCATCATCATCATGATCATCATACATCATCACTATCATTATTATTTACCACTATTGTTTGTTAATCACCAATTATATATATATACCCATCATCATCATCATCATCATCATCATCATCATCATCATCATCATCATGATCATCATTTGATCCAAGCAGCTATCACTCATTTCTCTGGAAATGTCCTTGTTGTCACCATTGTCCTTGGGGGGAGAACAGGCTACACAGCACCAGTGATCATGATCCCCTCAACAAAAATAACTATATATATATATGTATTAATACATAATATACAATACATGTATATATATATATTATGTAATATATATATTCTACATATAAATAAACAAATAAATAAATATGTATTATGTATATATATATATCATTGAATTATTTGTATATATTATATATAGATTAGATAAACAAAAACCAGCAATTGATACAATTAGTATTACTATGACTATGATAATAATTACACATAATCCCGTAGATGATCGTTCCCAATGATCCCCGAATCAGATTAGTTGCGTATGGATATAAACATTGACAATGGGCTTTGTAGATGTCTATACAGTATAAATCATATACATAATCATATATAGATATACACATAATATGTTACACTATGTATTATGCACACCCGCATACCCAGAACCCAACGAACATCAAATATCATGTGTTTTTTTATTGTTTGCCCAGGGTCAAAAAAAGGGATACAAATCCTGGTAGGAAACTCACTGGCTCCGGGTACACCATCTTTAGACCATCCAGGACCTAAACCCAACGTGCTGAATTTGAGTCCTTAACAAACGTGCCAAGAATCACTCAAATGCATCCAAATATTATATGATATTCAATGTATTCAAATGTAGTAGGCGTACATTCTCCAAGGCGAATACACGGTTTAAATATGTCAACCAACAAAAGAATAATACACAGCTTGTAGTTGAGCC